TAAATATTACACTCAGTATTTGTATTTGTCAGGGAGTTCGTATGCTTATTTTGCTATATCTGAGCCAGTTAACAATCCATTACTGGGTGGGACTGGAGATGTTTCTTTTAATACCTAAAATGGATAAGATATTGAAGGGGTTATTTTCTCCTATTCATTCATCTCAGATAGTGAAGCTTTTAGTCTACCTATGATGAAATAAATTACCTAAACAAAGTGAAAGGCTTTTCAGTTGCTATTTCACGAAAAGGAATGCCAAGTTTTAAGACCTTGAAAACCTTATGTAATATTTGAAATAAAAAAATTTTTAACCTCATTTGCTTACCTTTGTTACCTTTTGATTGATATCATTGTTTATAGTAGATAATTTAAGTGTAGTTGTTTTGTGTAATGTAGGTATATTAGAAAGATGAGCTGAAATACTGTATCGTGAATATAAATTGTTTGGGGTTTTTTCTTGCACTAAATCAAGACCACAGCACTTTGTGATGTTCTTGTTGTTGTTTCTCATTTTGTTTTGTGGTAAGCAATTAAAAAGTGGAAGGCATTTGCCTGCTTGAAATATTGAAAGATTGGAAGTAGCCTTTTGTCTCTAGCCCGTTGAATGAAGCACAATATCCATAGCGAAGGTCATTACTTCTTAAACACCAGCTTCATTAAAAGTATCCCTTGGGGGCTATAAGGCATCATTTCCACAGATTGCCAGAGCTAATTTAACAGACTAGTGGTTCTAAACAACAACAAAATCAATATTTTTATTCTTGCAAGAGTAATGGATGGATTTTGCAGTCACTGTTACTAAAAAAATAAAATAAAGATAAAGGAGCGTTATATCAAACTATAACCCTGATGTTATATTTTCCAAGCAGTAGCTATTTTTTTAATGAGTGTGTTTGCATTGCAGGTCTGTGAGTCAAACAAGGCCTTCCAGTTCATCTGAATCTAATCATGTTCATACTGCAGCATCCATCAGTAAGAAACTAGCCAAACAGCCACAAAATCCAACCACACCCAAGGTGCGTTTTATATAAAGTAAAGTTAAAGATTCCCTAGAGTCAACTCAGCTTCAAGTGTCTATATGGACATAGCTGTGTAATTTCTTTATTTTCAATAATTTGTCATTGCCTTCTTCCAGGATTTGAACAACCGTTGGACCTGTTAGCACCTATGTCTAAGGATATTTAATTGGATATCATTAAAAATGATTTTAATGTTTTTCTCAGTAGTTATTTTTTATAATTTTTATGTGTTATATGCCTTTTCCAACCTGCAGCACAAGTCAGAGAAACACAGTAATTACAAAACTGTCATCCCCCAAAGAATTCAAAATGTAACAACCTGCCAATTAATACACACTAACCATTGCAACCATGCTATTGACAACACCCTACAGTACAGCCAAGTGCAAATATATCCAGAATTTCTATAAAAAAGGAATTAACCTTGAAACTGCCAATCCTAATGAGTGCAAGGTGGGATAAACAGAGCCTTCTAGTTAAACATGCTAATTAAATAAAAGAAATTATACATCCATTTAAGGGGGCAACAGAAAGAAAAACCTGCCCAGAGAACATAATAAGTCAAGAGGTTTGTAGCGAGGGGGGTGTTAATAAATAAAGAGGTTTTTAGGATGTTCCTATTGGTATTAGGAAGTTCATTACCACTGATGACAAACTGACAAAATGCCTATTACAATGTGACAATGGAATTACATAAAGGGCAAATGCCACATAGTGATGCACATTTGATTACTTGTTTCTTTTTTAAAACAGATTCTGGCTATTCTCAGGAGCCAATTAGAATCCCTCCTGAGCAATGAATTCTGAAAAAACCCATAGGGTCCAGAATAGCCTGAATGTCATTGTTCTGGTTTGTCTAAGAACATGGAAAAACCCTGCCAAGAGACTATTGCAATAATCTGTGCATTGAACAACTAAGGTATGCACCAATAGAGCCTCTGTCAAATAAAGAAAGCAAAACACAAATTTGGTTAATGACTGAAATCAAATCAACACAGCCAGATTGGAAAATGCATACTGGTTTCCATACTCTAGACGAATGAAGATTTTAAGAGCTGAAACAAATAAATGTACTGGTTTCTGGATTGCAGCCAGTTCTCTTAGACAGAAATAATGCTTTTTAAACATCCAAGGATTAGTGTTTGAGTATGCTGTTAATTGGTTGTTAGTTGACTTCAGGAAAAATAAAGAGGGCATATTAAAAAGGAAGAGCCATTTAAACCAGCCCTGAAAGCAGTGACATTTAACCATTAATTTGTATATCTGAGAAGAAGCATATTGGCACAATTCAGCCAAAATGATTTTAACATTTATTTCAGTGGGAAAGATAATTTTGTTCATAGCATTTACTTTTTCCCTGGGTTCTTCTCATCTGCTTTTCTTTAACGGCAATAAACTGAACTTGAAATGCTTAGTTTTAGTTGTGCCATATGCAGTGTACTTAAACTGCAATTTATTTGCATATTGTTTTTATGGTCTATAGAGAAACAACGTACAATTGCTCCAGTATCAGAAAAGGGATATTAGCTACTTTGTGAAGGCCCAGGATGTATCGAAATGGAGTCCACCAGAGAGGGTCCAGCCACATCTTTGTGAGCTTTCCAGTCAACAGTCTGTATTTGGAAAGGTGCTGCCCACCAAGCCCCCTCTGAAATTTGACCTGGTATGTTGTTTTCGCCTCACCTCCATTTCTACAGAACCTGCAAATTCCAGAGGGCCAAACTAAATTGAGATTTCTTTGAATGGAGAATAAATAGTCCTTTCTAATCTTTTATTTCTATCTGTCTTACCAAGAAAACCCTAGGCAGTTTCAATCTCGATTTCTTTGGGCATTTCTTTACTAGCTTATTTCATTCTGAATGGCTACAGTAAAGGGAATTAATTCTAGTTCATCTAAACATTCCCAGTCACCCTCAGCATGTCTTCCTCCAGTGCCAGTGTTACAATATTTGTGACATGCTGTCAAGTAGCTGTTTGAATGCTAGATTGTCTAGAATTCAACAATGCCACAGCTGTCTTCCATTTTTGCTTCTTCTTATGAGTCACGGTGGTGCAGTGGTTAGAATGCAGTACTGCAGGCTACTTCTGCTGACTGCCGGCTGACTGCAATTTGGCAGTTCGAATTGCACCAGGCTCAAGGTTGACTCATCCCTCCATCCTTCCAAGGTCGGTAAAATGAGGACCCAAATTGTTGGGCGAAATATGCTGACTTTGTAAACTGCTTAGAGGGGGCTGTAAAAGCACTATGAAGCGGTACACAAATGTAAAAGCTATTGCTATTTTTGCTCCAAGAAAAATCACACGACTGCTTGTACATGTCATTAGGTCATGCAATGGTATTAGTGTGGAAGTATTAATACCAAAGTTGTAAAAGGGGAGGATCGTTGTTGAAGAGGAGCGGTAGTATAGAAGTGCACCTATTCAGATTCAAAGCAGAAAATCTGCTTTAGAGGGAATGTGAGTGTTCTTTTTGGCACATCACTAAAAAAAAAAAAGCTGCACCTTCTTCGGCATTTGCACCAGCTGCATGATCACAGGAAACATGTTTGAACTAAAGAGGCATTAAAGAAGCAGTGACAAGGTACAGTGATACTGTCACACTCTATTGGTGCTTTCATAATTGAAACATAAAGAAGCTGAAGCTTCTTTAAGGGAGTGCTGAAAGATGCAGTTAGTGGGCCAACATCCTCTCCAAGGCACATTGCTGCTTTGGGTCAGAAGAGCTGGATGTCACTAGTCTCTAAATAATTGATGTTATATTTGAGTAGTTCTAGCAGGGATCTACAGATGAGAAATTGTGCTCAGCCTATGCTCTCAGCTGATTCATCCTGGAAAATAATGTGGTAGAGGCATCTGCAGGATTGTATACTCTCATCAAAATGACGCAAACAGTGTCATATCATTGCATTGTAAGCTCTGCCCCTTTTGTACACAGTGACATCACAGTGCATACACAATGGCAAATGGGGATTATGGCACAATATTCCTTTCATCATTTATCCCTCTCCAGACACTTCTGCACTAGGAGCCTCTGATATGTTAAAACATGTGTTAAAACATTCATTTCTGAACAGGAACAGTGGCATCGCAGGGCTTGACTGCAACTGATGAAATTTCCATTTTGGAAGGAATCCGAAAATGAGCTATCCTATGTAGTTGGCCCTATCTAGAACTACATATCTTAGGACAGCATCCAGTATCCTAAGGTTTTGCCAGCTGTGTATTATTTGGTTCTCAGATTACAACTTTTTAAATTTGTTCAATTTAATTTGGTCAAAGCTATTGTTTTCTGAGCCAGCCCACTTCCATCTGTTGTTGCTTGGTGTTATTATTGTTCTTTTGCTAGGATGGTAGCTTAACCGCTTCACATGTTCTGATTACAGCTCCACTCAACATTTGTTGAAAGCATTTGACGGTACAGCCAGCCTCAAAACCCCATAATTTTGAGAGTTACAATAACGATTGAAACATTGAACCAATCCCACAGATTGACCACAACTGCATTTCATAACAACAATTAAAAGTGGAGCGGGTTCTGTAACCTCAGTACATTGCTGCTGGTTTTGTTTCCACATCAATTCTTGCTTGAAGAAATCTATAAAGTTTGATATTTCATTTGTAACATTTTTATAATTCTGAAGTTGCCACTGTTTAAACTTTATCTATTTACTTGCAGATCTTACATCTGAAAAAAAAATTGGCATTGACTTGGCCAGCTTTCACATTCCTTCAAAAATCAGAACACAGTAAAATAACTTTTTGATGGAATCTGATTAGTCAGACCACAAATCTAGATTTTTTTTGAAAGAAACATGAATTAAATACTATATTATTCCATCTCCTGCTTTCTACAAACCTCCTAAATGTGGTGGTGTTAATTATGATACCACCTCATTATCTTTTGCAAGCACTAGGCTGGAACTGTATGATGCAGCTGGCAGCTTTTTTTTTTTTTTAGCAATTGCCAGTCTCTGTACTGAAATTACTTTGATCTTGTTTTTGTTCATCCTCTTCCCTAGAATTGTCTGAGCCAGACTATAAAAAATGCCATTTTGCTTAGAGGGAAACTGGAGAATTGATGGATTCTTGCAGGATTTTCCCTCTTCTTAATTTATCTTTAGTATTATTAGTTACCTGATTTGTATTTCTATTCATATTAAGGCAGTATGAGGTGCTTATGTGGGTACATATGAGCTAACCTTTGCTTTTTGAGTCAACATTAATATAGCAGTTTGACCTAATCACCAGCTGTTCCTGAAACTTGGTAATAAGCAAACAAACAAAACTGTAGGTCAGTTAATTGTGTGATTACGTTACTACACTTATCTGCAAGTTCTGGTTTACCTATACAGTACAAGCACACTGTTAGTTGTTATCTAGTCTGCAACTTAGTATTATTCAGAATCAAGTTTCTTCCATCGTAAGCACGCTTTTGACTGGATCTAGCAAAACTCAGATTTAGAATTAAGAATAAGCTGCCACAGATACGTGCAAGCATGATCTATAATTTGCTCTAGAGTCCCGTCCCTCCCAAATAATGTATTGGAATCTGATGCTTGGAGCCTTAACCAACATCTGTTCACTGAAGACACAGACCACCAGCCATAAGACAGTTGATCAGGCCCTTGTCTTAAAAACAAGCTGAAATTAGACCACTGTAATTTGCTGTGCTTGGAGCTACACTGGAAAATCAACCCAGAAGCTTGAGCTGGTCTGGTGCACAGAGGAATGCTTGCTTAGTGATGAGCCATAACACAACCATATCTTATCTCTATTGCAAGTGTTGCATTACCAATAGACTTGTGCATATAATTCAAAATGCCGATCACTATAAGAGCACATATGGTTTGGGGCCTGGCAGCATTTTAGAAACCACTTTCCTGATTAGTTTCCACTTGCCTTACCTAGACAATTAGAGAGATCTAAGTATCCCCAAATAAGAGGAGGTATAGGATGAGGGAGTCTGATGGCATCACCCAAACTCTGGAATAGTTTCCTTCTGAAACACAATCCATGGTTTCCAGACACACATGAATGATCTCTTCTACAAAGTTTGGAAATTTAGGTGCAATATAAAACAATTTTGAATAATTTTAACTTTTTACCTTTACTTGCTATTGTAATTAACTTTGTTCTAATTTTGTATTGCTTTTACTATGTAAATTCTGTAAGGTGTCTAGAATCTAGACAGTTTCAGTCAAATAAAGCTGATAAACACAAGCAAATACCCGATGAAGACTATAATGTAGAATTTTTAAAAGCATGACTTTAATTTAGCTACTGCCCTCTCACTCTTAGCTAATATCCACTGTCTTTTTGTCCCATCTCTGATATAGGTATAATTATAGATTTTAGTTGATTGAAGAATATAGCCAAAGTGCTTATTAATTTATTGGATTTATAAGGCCTTTTATTTTGTAGAACTGAAGGTGCACACATGTTCCTTCCTCCTATTTTCCTTACAATTAAAAAAAAGTGAGGTGAGTAAAAGAGAGCGAAAGCTTAGAGTGAGTCACCTAGTCAGCTTCCATGCCTAAGGGAGAACAAACTTTATTTGTTTGATAAGTTATAAATAAATAAATGGTAAAATGCTGCTATAATTTCATCCCCTAGAAGAATATTGCTAAAGGTATTGAATAACATTGTTGTGCCTCACAAACTAGCATCTCTGTAGATAGAAGTCCAATGTTTACATAGCTGTATTCTGAGTTCAGATTGTTTTTTGCCGTTTTCAGAAATTGTGTACTTACTAAAAAGGAACAAATTACAGTGAAGTTAAAAAAAATGGAGCCACCATTTCTTTCATGACAAAACACACAGTATATATTTGAAGTGTCTATTGTGTTCTGGAAGCTATAAAAAAGACAACCATGATTTATAACATAATAAACATTTTAGTAGTATTTCTTCTCCCTGTATCTGTCAGAAGAATGGCATAGAAGCTGATATTTTTTTCTGTTATAAAAGTCAGCAACTTTAAATGTCCATTACAGATGCAATTTTAATAGCAGCCTTTTTTGTTAGAGGACATAGATGAGTTTATTGCAGATTGTAACTGTTAAGAAAACACTTCAATTAACCCAGAGCTACTTATTCAAGTATCCTATGGCCAGAACCACTGGATATAAATCAAAATAACAAAAACAGCAATGTGTTTGATATTTTTTATTCACTCTTGAGCCTAGATGTATCACCAGGTTTATAATTCATAAAGCCAGACTTCTAATTAACTTTACATTTATTTGAAGTTATGCCTTATCTCTGGAACCTGCTTATTGTGCTTTATGATAAAATGCTTATTGGTTTTGCATCTTTTGGGGGAATATGAGAATTGATAAGAATTTGGGTTTTATTTTAAAGCAGTTAATAGGAAAAAGACCAGGGTATAACTGACAGGATAACATTTAGCAGGCTGCCTGGCAGAAAGATGATATTAAATTGCTATAATTTGGAAATGTCTCAGTGACAAATGTACACAATGATCATCTTGTGTTTCCGCTCTTGGCATATTTATTAGGTGCCTTGTCATGTTCTCTATTTGAAATAAAGAACAGATTTATGTAGGTAAAACATTTTAAAAGAGTTGATAACTTTGTATGCTTAATAAAGCCATGCATTTTTGTTGCACTTCAGTTTTGCCAGCTCTTTCATAGCTCCCCTGAATACATTCCAAGAAGTCCTTTCTGACTGTATTTTTTTCTTAATGTTTTTTTAATTATTATTTACTAGAAATAGAAATCATGGAAACTCATATAATGCAAATGTTGTTTTAATTAAAGCATGTTATGAGGGATGGGCAGGATGATGAATAATAGAAACATTAAAAGCTAAATCAAAAAGAGCTGCAGTTTTTGACTGAACTATCACAAATTATAACTACAAAATTGTGAAGAACTGTTTAGTAGCATTCTTTAAAATACACAATGTTTTGGTATTTTATCATTGACTGTATTGTGCATGGATAAAATCTACAAAAGAAAATAAATGAATTGCAATATTGTGATTTTGTTCCCACACTGTAGGAATCTTACAAACCAAGTCCTCCTCAGAAGCCTTTGCCAGCTAATCCTCAGAAGAACAAAGCTGTTCAGTTTGATCCTGTTTCTAGGACAATGTCTGAGCTTCCAAAACCTAGGCCTCAAATTGCTCCTGTCAGGTTAGTTTGGTTGTCTCTTAGTATGTTTCACGCTAAGCTTTTGATGGAAGTTACCCAAGTCAGATTTTATGAGCACCATGATGCACAAAGTTGCTTAATTTTGCAATAAACATGTCACGTGAAGAATCAACTTCAGCATAAACCAAGCCACCACAGACTGGCAGTACACAATGTAAAATAAATTCCTTTTATCTGCCCTGAACTTTGACTATTTAATTTAGCAGGTTTTAATACTGTGGAAAAACCATTTCTTGCCTTATCCCCCAAATCATAATTTTAATACTTTTAATATGTATGCTAAAGAGATAAACCTGTCCCAGCTCTTTAGTGGTCTAGAGATGGCAATGATCAGAATAAAATATTCCAATATTATGAAAACACACACAGAGAGAGGAATTAATTATAATTCATGTAAAATTTAAAATATAATTGAAAGACATCAGAAATCAAAGACATCACACCCAAAGTTCTATGAAAGAGATCTTTTAAGCTATTCCCTCCCCAAAGTGGGAAAACCACAAGCTGCTTTTCCCAGAAAGATCATTTTGGTCAGGTTGATTCTAGCTGAAGATTGTGATACCAGGCTCAGGGCCTAAAGGTTAAAAGCAATAGTTTAAATTGCACTCAGAAGCTGATTGGTAAGTCGTGCAAGCCAGGGGTGTGATTCAAATTTTTTAACAACAGGTTCTGTGGGCATGGCTTGGTGGTCATGTGACTGGCTGGGAGTGGCCAACTCAATATCACTCACATCAAGGTACGCATCTCCTTGCCTGGCTTCTCGTGACTGTGGGGATGCTGCAACAGTCATAAGTGTGAAAAACGGTCATAACTCAACTTTTTTCAGTGCCATTGTAACTTTGAATGGTCACTCCACAGAGGCAAAATACCAGCAAAGGAGGGGAAAAAAAACTCCAGGGACGTTCCTGAGACAGGAAGTCTAGTCCAGCCAAGAATGTAATAAGGGTTAACGGAGAAGCAGTTTCTGTAAGCAACACCAGAATGTTTCCTTCCTGCCTTCCTTACAGGATTAGGCCAGTAATTTCTTCTAACAACTGGTTCTCCAAACTGCTCAGAATGTTAACAACCGGTTCTAGCAAATAGGTGCGAACCAGTAGAATCCCACCCCGGTGCAAGCACTGTGTTATAGTGTAATGTGCTCCTGTCAGATGTTAGGGAACCTATAGGCCACAGCATTCTGGGCCATTTTAAAGCAATCCCCAACTAGAACCTAACAACGTAATCCAAATGGGTGGCAATAAGGCCATTAGCTCCTGTTGCAGCAAAGTCTCTTGTCCTGGGTGCAGCTGCACACACACACATGTACGTACACATGCACACCCATACCCATCTGTAGCCTCCTGAAATTAAACTTGATGGTGCACATGGATGGGCTTCAGGAAAGTGGTCCAAGATATTTATGTGACCTGAAACCATCGCATGCCCATCCCTATAAGTAGCAATTGTTTATTTAATAACTAAGTAAATAAATATCTTAGTAATTCCCGATTTTCATGTATTTGTTTTTTGTCCCTTGACCCTCTTCTGTTGAACAGGCCTGCACCAAAACCTCCACTTCATGTGCCTAGGCCCTGCAATGCTGTCTATATGAAATGAAATGGGGGGAAATGACCATTTTTATTCTGAAAAAATAGAAGTTTGCACTATTTTTCAGCTGGAAATTAATATTTTTATATCAACCAATAGAATGTTTAATGTTCTATATCCCATTGTTTTAAGAACTCTGAGCTACTGCCTTTGGTGCTACAGTGTGTGAAGGTGGTTTGCGTCCTTGCTCAGGTACTAATAAATTATTAATTTATACTCATATTTATTACAGTGCAGAGCACTGTAGTAAATATTATTTCATCATAATCAAGTTTTCCTAGGATGGAAGCCATTTTTATGATGCTTAAGCAGTCTTGAACCATCCTTCATTTTAAATTTCACAGCAGGCTATATATATATAATACCTCTCAGTGTTTGTTGTTCCATTTAGATCTATTCTTTGTAGGATGCTGACTAGGACTGAAATAAAATTGCTGAGATCAAGGGACCAATGAAAGTTCAAATACAGCTATGTTTTTATTGTTTGCTAATAAAAGGCAAAATGGAGGCAATATGTAATTTGTGGTGCACAAATTACAGGAAGGTAAAGCAAACAACTGCCAATGCTGTTCCTATTGACATTCCATTAGAAAGATGGAAAAATACTATTTGCAAAAATCAAGAAATACTGTTTTTCTTATAATTTGAAAGTTTATAGTAAGCAAAGGCAACCAAAAATTCACTGTAATTATGCATGTACCAAATGGAAATCCAACCTACCTCTAGTGAACTGTGCATATGGAACATAACCATCTTTGGAGAAAATAAAATGTCATTTGTACAAAAGTTATTTCCATCATCATGGTACAGATGCACGTTAAATATACACTGAATTATCTCTTGAAGCTTAAATACCTATCCCAAGATCAGCAGTTTTATCCAGTACCCAGAATCCATTTTCAATTGTAAGAGTCTCAAGTATATTTCTTGTATTTATTTCAGTTCTATAACATGTCAGTCATCTGTTCCAGAATTACAATGGGTTAAGAGAAATCTTCAGATTAATTGTACTAACACAAGTGATTTCTTTTTTGTAATACACAAAAATATAGTTAGCCATAACTGTATATCCTAACTCAATGTACTGTAATGTTAAATGCCTGTTTTCCAAGATAGTGTATAGATTTTCAAATAGCTTTTAAAGTACTGTATATTGAACACTATTTTAATTAGAAATGGTGTGTAATTTCTATCATAATGTCTTTTTCAATTTTTTCGGTCTTCAGTGTTTATGTATCTGTATGTGTGTGAGTATAGATATATACACATCTGCATGCACACGATGCCCATGATGCATCAATGCCACATGATGCCACACAATGCCCATGATGCTCACACTTTGATGGTTTCCACCAATACAGCACAAGCTACTTGTCCTTTTCTTACTTTGTGATGCAACAGACCATATAGCCATAAAACCTATAGGTAGCTTTATAGTTCCGTAACACCCAGTTCAGATGCTTACCTACCATTTATATGATATTTTCATGTGCAGAATAGCAAGTAACTCAGCATGGGTTTAAAACCATATTGTAGC